GTGTTGCTAAATGCAGTGGTCACTTCTCAGTCCTCACCTTACTTGACGTGCCAGCAGCATTGCCCCGGTTGATCTGCCTCTGTTCCCAGGGGCTTCATTTGACTCCCAGGACATGAGTTTTCTCCCACCTCACTGCATGCTTTCTTCTCATTTGCTGACTTCTACTTCCTGAGCTCTTAACACTGGGGTGCCTTAAGGTGCAGTCTTTGGACCACTGTCCTTTTCCATCTATGTTCATGTTCTTGGTGATTCCAATCTTATTGGCTTTCAATACTACCTATCTGCAGACAAAGTCCAGATTTTCTCTCTCCAGCCAGATTTATAAATCCAACCACCTACTCAACGTCTCATTTAGATGTTTAATAGATATGTCAAATTTAACATTCCCAGACTAAACTGATCTTTCCCCCTAATCTGCTCTTCTCATAGTCTTTCCCTTTCAGTGACAATCCCATCCTACTAGTTTTTCAAACCAGTAACCCTGGTGTCATCCTTCTGTCCTCTCACCCATATCCAATCTGTCAGCAAATCTATTGTCCGTACCTTCAAAATACATCCAGAGTGTGATCACTTGTCACCACCACCACTGCTACTACCCTGGGCAAGTTTTTATCTCTTCTGTGTCTCTTTCCTCATCAATATCCTGGGAGGAATAGTGGACTATAGCTTACAGGGTTAATGTGTGGGTTAAAGGAAACAGGATATGTGAAGAATTTAGCACAGTGCTGAGCCAACAGGTAGTGCTCCATAAATGTTAGCTTTTATTATTTCTGGCCTTTTCTTTTCTAGAAGGTGTCAAAGAGATTTGACTGATAAAACTAAAGCCATCAGCCCATTTTATAGTAACTTTATTCTTCAACACATGAAATTTTTTATTTTTAAGGTTTCAACTGAAAGAGTGAAGAAATTGTGTTACTGTACTGACGGCTTAGCTTCTGAAAAAGAAAAGTGAAAATTTACCTGGGAAAACTGTTACAAATAAGAACTAAGAAAGGGGTTAAAACAAACTACTGTTTGTAAAAGTAAATAAAAATCTTTCAGTAGAAAGATTTTAGAAAATCCATAACAGTATCTGAGGTATCAGCAATATTACAATAATCTTGAATTATATATGAAGCATCTCAGGTCAGTACCCAAAAGTATAAATTAGACACATGGAGAACACTAATACAGTAAGAAAAACCATTGCACTGTATAAGCAGAAAAAGTATCAGAACATTAAATTTGTCCCTTTAATGCAATTGCTTTGCTAATATATGTGCTAAGAAATGGTTTTTGAATAGGTAAGAAAAAAGGTTAATCTAATTTTATTTTAATGTTTATGGTGGGAAAAAATCATATTTATTCTTTATTCCTTCTCTCTCATTCTGCACATAAAAGTATAAAACATCTGCCATGTGCTGGGTAAGGAAAAAACCCACAGTGAATTGTTTTTATTACTTACTGCTTTGTAAAAATATTTTTATCCTTTTGCATACAAGAACTAGGTAATAATGGCCTTGGATGTTTTAAGAGGAGGGAAATAACCCCAATATGAAATTATCAGAAATTGACTATGCTTAGTTTGTTACTAGCTTTCCTTTGTTTACATTTAATTTTATGTTAAACTCTTGGTATTCTGATATAAAAATTTTTACACTGTAGAGACACATATATATTTCACATTATATGCAAAGTTACCTTAGTAGAAGTAAACTCCCATTGTTACCTATCGTGGGATCATTTTAACTCGTCCGTATACTTAAATGCTAATTTTTATTCGATTTTTTTCCTTTGTAGGAAATCCTGGCTGAGCAAGGTTGGAAGTCCTAGTTCTCGTATTGACCGCACCAATTTTTCCAATGAAAAAAGCATCTCTAAACTTGAATACTCTAATTTTAGTATTCGATACTAATATGAGAAATTATACTGTATGATAGACATTGTACTCTTAAGTCTATAGACTAAAATAATAGCAGAGTAGGTTAAAAAACGGAACTTTCTGCTCTGAAAGCTGTAACATTATGTCACTACGAGCGTCTGATACTGAGAGAGTTTTACTCAACTGTGTTTTAAACAAGCAAAAACTTAGCATTCTAAAATTTAAAATGTCATTACAAAATATTTAAAATGAATATTTAATTTAAACAATATTGTCTCATGGAATCTTTAATTCTAATGAATATTATGGCATGTATGTTATTTGGCTGGACATAATAATAAAGTTAACCATTTAAAATTATTTTTAGGTTCCGTTGTCTGAATTGAATTCTAAAATCTGAAAAATAATTTGTTGTTAAAGTTGAGTAATTTGTTTAATAACAATTACAAACAAAAATAACCAGTAGTTAGATATAAATGTCTATGTGATGACCAACCGTATAGCCATAAAATCAATAGAGTTAATTTTAAACCTCTGGTTAAATGAGAATATGATTTGGTACTTAGGTTGGAGCTAGTTAATGCTTTCTGTGAACAGTATTGCTCTCTGTAGTGAACAGATGAGTAGAGAAGCCACAGTGTTAGTACAGTCAGCAGCAAGGTTTATGGTGACAACCATCTGCAATGGATGTCCTATGAACCAGAAAGTAACTGAGAGTCTAAATAAATCATACTGTCCCCAAACTTGGCCTACCATGTGAGGATTTTCACATTTGGATGATAATTAAGCAGTATTCTAAGGGAAAGGTTTATTTCTATACTACAGAATTACACTCTTGAAAAAGGAAGACCTTTAACTCAAAGTACTGAGGAATTTCAAATGTTGTAGGTAATACTTACATATCCCTTCGATGATTTCCAAAATTTTATAATATATCCATTAAAATAAGTTTCAGTGGAATTTAATACATAAAGCAAGTGGAAAAGGACAACTAGCATGATTAGAAAGCTGGGGGGGGGTCACTCGAGCCCTGCACACTTGGTCTCACTTTCCCTCTGCAATTGTCCAATAATTTCAAATGCCTTGGAAATACAGGCTAGAAACCACCATTCTATCTATGGAACAAATCTCTACTGCTACACTCCATGGCATGGAGAAAGAATTCAGGCCTCTCTTTTCTACTTGCTGCAAAATTAGAGGTAAGAGAAGGAGATAGGCTGAGTTTTTTTCACTTGAATGGTTAACTTGATGATAATATTGATATCAAATATATGTATGTATACATGTATGTGTGTGTATATATATGTGTATATATAATATATGTACACAAAGACAACACAACATTAGACAATGACAAAGATTTTTTTTTAACTCTCCAAATACGCTTGAGTAAAGAACTTTCCCATTGTTTCAATACCATTGCCATGTTAAGGAGAATATTGTGATACTCATCTGAATTTTGCTCTCCTTTTATTTCCCCACTTCTGGTTCAAGGAAGGTAGACAAGTCTGAGTTCCCTTACCTCAGGGAGGGTTTTGGTACCAGATCCCCTGAAGACAACTGTCTTTCCAAGGTTTCATTTTATTTTTATTTTATTTTTTTAATGGAGGTACTGGGGATTGAATCCAGGACCTCATGCATGCTAAGCAAGCGCTCTATCATTGAATTATATACTCCCACTCCCACCAGGTTTCATTTTAAAGAGAGCATTATGCTGTGAGTTGAAAGACAAACACCAGACCTTAAGTGCATGAAAGAGAAGCAGAAGTGGCAAGAGCCGAGGGGATGAGATTATCCAAGGCTTTGGAAAGGGACCAAGTGCAGCAGAGTTCCCAAGAAATGGAGACCTGCACCTTTCTCTCCAACAGCACCTCTGGGGGATGACCAAACCTGAGACAGGAGCAGCTGTGGCCTACCCAGAGAAGCTGGATCCCAGGCCCAGGGACTCCCAGCCCTCGCATGATTCCAGCTCCCGGAAAGTGCTGCAAAGCATCCATGACCTGAGGGGCCATGGTGGCTTGGATGGTAGTCCTGGTAACTGGTACAGAGAGGAGACCAGATCTTCCCTAAATGCTCTCTCTGCATTTTCCTTTACATGATCCTTCTGAGAGAGGGTGCAAAGCACCAGGGATGAAAGATTTAACTTCCCACCTCCCAGACAAGCTGGGGCTTGAAGCAGGCTCATTTTGACTTAGACATTTCTTACACAGTCAAGTTGAAAATAAAATCTGTATCTCTTTACACACAGAAAGGCTAAATGATTTTAGAAAAATATAATCTCAGAAGTGACACCAATATGTCACTATTTATTAGCCTGATTTCCTCTGGTGGTTCCCTTCCCTACTCTTTATTTTAAAAATCACACTGTGCTGGCACTATCTTCTAACTGCACAAAGCGAATCACATTAGTCAAGGTTGCTTAATGATGAATACATAACCAAGTTCTATTACTGGATGAAAAATGTAGGTAATGAGTAAAAGAGGGTGTGTATGAACTGATAGAAAACAAGAGGGAAAAAAAGGTAAAGCAATTTTAAAAATGTGTTATAGGGACCAGACAGCACACCTTAACAATAACTTTAGAATGTCAAATTTCATACTGAACTTAGGGACTTTTAAATTTCAGTATCATCTTTCAGATAACAGCAAACCTTGATAGGTTTTAATTTTGCCAGAATTAGGCATTTTAAAACATAAGAAAAAAAAACTGAGCAAAAGATGGGAATCGACCTTAGTGACCATCAACCAGGAATATCAACACTCCACATGCCCACACCCTCCTCAAGAAGGAATAGATCAGTATTAGGGGGATATGATTTGTAAAAACATTTAACTATTTTTCATAGTTACATAAAAATACCTAGCTTTTAAAAAAGCCAACTCAAGAAGTAAGGCTCAGTAGAATCTTCTAGGCTGGAGGGAAGATGCACAAGACAGATCCTGTGGCAGGCGGGGCACAGAGAAGCAACAGGGGTGTGGTAGAAACAGATGTTCTTTACTTGGAAGTCCATGGACCTAAACTTGAGAAAAAGCAATTCAAGTTTCATCTGAGACTGGGAATTTCTAAGTACAGTGGAGTTCCCTGCAGCCTGAAGAAGGCTTGTGCTTGAAAAGTGTGTGTGGGGGGGGGGGGAAGCTGTGTTAACAAAGTGCAGAGAAGCATGAGGGAGCAAACTAACCAACAGGTGGGGGAACTAACAGGTGCGGGTTGCTATGGCAACAACACCCACTAGTGTGACTTTGCTGGAAGCTGGTCACCATTTTCACAACAAAAGATTTTCAATTTTGTCTACTGAAGGAATTTTTCAGAAGCACGTGTCTCTAAATTCTTAGAGACAATAGAAAAAACAACAATCCACTTCCAAAAAGGAGCTTGTATTTGGAAGTATAGAGCCCAGTCCACAAATATTTTTTCATATAGTAGCTCTCCCTGGCCTCCATTAAAACAGCTATCAAAGAATGTTCACTACTTGTTAAAAGAACAAGATTTTCAAATCTGGAACTAATTTCAGGAACTGGAAATAGGCAGCATGGTGTGGTAGAGAATATTTTGGTCTAGTAATCAGAAGACCTGCATTCTGGGCCCCGCCCACCCACTCATCAGCTGTGTGCCCAGGTAGCTTCAGTTGCAAAGTCAAGAAGTTGGACTGCATTGGGACGTCTCATAGGATTCTGGTAAGAAAGACACCTTCCGGGAGGTGGTACCAGAAGACTACAGAGGGAAGTTAGGAAGATGGGTGGCTGAAAGCCCCAGTCAGAGCAGCCCTACTCTCATCTCTTTCATTTATTAAGATTCTCCAAAAGACATACTGAGAAGAATTCCACCTCAAAACAACAACAACAAAGACACTGAATTTAGTACCTGGGGTCTTTTCTAAATTTCTACACACGCTAAAGTCAAATGCATTGCTTAGTCTCTTGACTAATTTTGTCACGCCAGTGTGGTATGTATACTCTACCTGTAGCCATTTCCATTTTTGTGACAAGTGACTATTGGAATGTTGGAAATAAATTCTTATTTTTATAGTGACTGTGATAAAGATCCATGGTAACTAAAATATTTCTGAAATTGATACTCTGTTGTCTTTTGTTTCTATTGTGATGTTACCAAAATAAAACATATACAAAAGGAAACAAATACATAATTGGCGGCTTAATTAAAAAGTGTTTTATAAGCATATCCTGGAGATTTTAACCTAAATTTTAGAATTATGCATAAAAGCTAAGTTTCCTTAATAGGTTCAAGTGATTTTGAATAAAACCCAAGTCTGAAAAAATTTTAAATTTTAGAATTAAAACGTCTAGTTATGTGTGATCTCATTAGAAGATTTTTCTATAGAAAGTGGGGTCTTCCCCCTTCTAGAGAGCACAATTTATGCTCTTTCCTCTGCTGAAAGGTCAGTATACAGTCTGGTTGGATGTCCAAGACACATCTTTCATCCTCAAACTAACTTTTTCATTAGTTTTATTCTCCATGTTGGCACAATGAACTCTACAAGAAGCAGCGGATACAAGTTTCCAATATGGTGTCTTTTTCTTTTCTTCTAGTTTTTTTTTTTTTAAACAAATACTAGAAGACATAGAAACAGAAAATGCAGGCAGTTCATTGTATTGGAAATGAAGTTGCTGTTTCAAAACAACTCTAAAGAGCAAGGATCATAGTCAGTCATTTGGTCATTTGCAAGCATTAAGGCAGAACTTCTACTGAATTCAGTGCAGATTAATCTGGATTAAGAACTTGCCTACAATAATCAGGAAATTGGCATAAAGTGACTAGATGGTATGTACCATTATTTCTGAGATGCAGTGTTTACAACAACCAGAAAAAAGTGAAACAAATCCTTCTCCTCGGGTATTATTTTCCAAGGTAGCAATAGAAGAATGGGAAAGATTCATCCAATAGGAAACAATAATTGATGGTGCAGAACTGAGAATGGCAGGGACAGCATCCTTGAGACACAGCATCTAGGCATCCGGACAGTTGACTATGGTAATAGGCAGGAAGGTAGAGGATGTACTTGACACAAATATGGTAGGTAGATGCCTCCACTCCATCCTCTGATCCCAACTATTACTCTCTGTCCAACGACTGGGGATAATAAAACTCTGAAATCACAGCACACAGGGAAGAGAAGGAACAGGTAGTGGAGGTTGGGAAGTCCTGTTACTTAAAGCATGGAAGTTGATGCAAGGTAGCTTTATAAATGTTCTTTTTATAATTATTTATAAATTATTTTATACATCCTATATCTATGATGTATTTCATTTTTTTATTATATAAATTAAGGCTCCAGGAAATCTCATAGCAAAACAACAACAAAAACCTGGATAAGGCAGATCAACCATTCAAAGGCTTTAGACCTGAGAGGGATACACTCTGTTGGCAATAATAAAAAATTATTTAAAATTTTTTAAAAATAGTAAAACATAATAAAATATATGGATTAAGGAAAATTAGTTGAAATATAAAAATTAAATTCTGAAGAACAGACAACACACATACTCACATTCTAAGCTATGGACAGACTATA